AAAAAGTTTAATGTGCATTGATTTAGTCCATTATTTATCCAATGTCAACATACTGTTATAGTGTCTCTTTTAGCTCTATTGACAATGGATGCAAATTTATGACTGCTCTACCTTGGCAAAATTATGTCATGCATTGGTCAAACATGACTTTTTTTTGGGGCGGAGGTACTAGTGCCCCTTCCGTCCCATATAAATTATTGCTCCAAAATTTATATTGTCCCCCAAAAGAGGGTAGTTTCAAAAAGTCAACTTTCATGCAAAGTCCAACGGCACGCGTTTAGCCAATTACTTCGAACTATCTTAGAAATAAGTTTTGGTTATTTGTGGAAGTTTGTACCGTGATTGAGCTGGCAAGAAATAAAAGGTTGTACCTTACTCAAACGAGACTTTTATTTTTGGGATTCAGCCACAAATGGAGTAATTGGTTATCTAAATCTTGTACCTATGAATTTTCGCAGGTCATGGAAGCCCAGGATGGCAAGCTCCAGAACAGCTTCTTCAAGGGCGTCAAACACGTGCATTAGATTTATTTAGTCTGGGATGTGTTCTATTTCATTCAATTAGTGGTGGTAGCCATCCCTTTGGTAGCCCTATGGAACGTGACATCAATATTACAAAGAATAAAATTGACCTTTTCTTGGTGAACCATATACCCGAAGCTATGGAACTCTTCTCTCGTTTATTAGATCCTAATGCTGAAATGAGGTATGATGTGCAGAATGAAACCTAGCTGCACTGCTGATGTAGCTGGACTGTTTGGATTGGGGGGGGGGGTGGAGGGGTTCGGAGGGCCGAGTCTATATCATGATAAATAGAAATATTTGTAAAAAACAATCACATACTATCTGAAGCACTCCAAAGCCTCTTCGTCAAACACTTGAAAACCCCTCCATCCAAATATACCATTACATTCCTTCCACACAGTACAATTAATTTGTTTTGTTGTGAGTTTACCAATATCTACGTACCTAACTTGTTGAGGTTTAGTGAGCATAATGCTATGGTGTTTTCAATGGTGAAAAAACAATATAGTTGTGTGAAAAAATGACGTGAATTCTTATACGTTTAAGCAGGTGGATATCATGCACTAAGAAGTAAAATTGACCTCATAGAGTTATAGTATAATCTCATGATTTGCCCATGATCATTTTAACTTTCATTCTCAAGACTCAGACCTAATATACATGCTCAGAATTTGTGATTAGTTGCTACTCCCCTCTCTCTTTGTACCACACTGGTGCTTATTTTTTTGTTCCTAAATAAGTGCCGTGTTAGGAATTTGACAGTGTTGATTGATACTCCGGTATCATATTTACCGTTATTCACCTAACTATATTCTGGCAATTAAGGAATAGGTTGTTAATCTTTCTACTGCCTCTTTAATTTACCTCTTTCCTTTTGGCTATACATAAATGAAATTCTCATTTCCTTATAAGAAAGTAATTGTGTAGCTGATATTTCCCTTTCTAAATAAATCCCAACCACACAACATCACAGCTTGATAAGAGCTTCTAGAAAGGCTTTTAGCGTCTTCAATATGAATTAGCTATTTGACCATGTCTAAAAGCTAAACTAATGTTTCATAATGAGCTAAAGAGAATGTCAATTTTCAAAAAGCTTAGCTTTGAGGTTTTCTGAAAAGAGCCTCTTGAAAAGCTTTTTATTAAATACTTTATGCACTTAAACCACTAACGAGTAGTTTATAATTGCTATTCCTAGCATGTCTGCATAAATAATTAAGGTGAAAATGGAACAAAATGGCTTATATGAATTGCTAATGCAAATAAACTAATTGTGAAACGTGGTCAATGTTAAGCTTCGTGCAAAATGCAAAGTCACATAGGGAAAATTAAATAGGGGCGTAGGGATTATTTTATAGAAATGCAAAACTGAATAATCTTGTTAATCTTGTCTTGATATGAGTTGCATTTAATTCTTTTATCAACTCCTTTGCAAAGTTGAGCCGTGCCACTTACTCAGAATCAAGAAACTAGTTCATCTGCTAAAATGGTTATGGTTTTGCTAGTTGGATGCAAAATTGTGAATATTTAAGACCTATGCTACTGAATTTTCTGAACGATGTTCTTGTGAATGTGGATCTTTTAGTTCTCTAACCTCTATTTTAATAATCTCTCTCTTAATTTCACACAGGCCAAAGGCAGTAGAGGTTCTTGCTCATCCTTTCTTTTGGACCTCAGAGATGCGATTGGCATTTCTTCGTGATGCTAGCGATAGGTTAGAACTAGAAGACAGAGAGACCGGTTCTGTTATATTAAAAGCACTGGAAGGGACATCACGGGTTTCCGTGTGTGGAACATGGGACTCAAAGATGGACCCCATTCTCCTCAAAGATATAGGCCGCTTCCGGCGGTACAAGTTTGACAGTGTCCGTGACTTGCTCAGGGTCATACGTAACAAGTCAAATCATTACAGAGAGCTTCCTACAGATATTCAGGTGGGTTTTCTCATGATAAGAATGTGGAATCCCTTTAGAACTCTGAAAATGATAGAAAAGAAAATACGGAGGAAGATAAGTAGAAACTTTGAAAGAAAGAAAAGATGGGGAAATAAAATGCCAGTTCAATTGCAATTACTTTAAAAAAACTTTTTAGAACTTATTTTATTTACTCCACATTTATTTTACTATATAGACTAAGAAATCCTAACATTTATGAGCATATTAAAAACATTAATCACATTTGGTATTCCTATTCCGAGGTAAAGCCAAGCACAAAAAAAAAATCAAAGCATATTTTCCCATTCCCTAGCATTATCCGGGATCCAAACATACACTTTGGCCCGTCTGGAATCTGGGAAAACCTAGGAATAAGAAGGAAACCAGAGAGGTAATTTTAAAGGAGATATAGTTTGGGGGGAGGGGGAATGGGTCAAACTCAAACCGTTGTGTAGTTTTATCTCTTGCAACTACTGCCTCAACAAATGACTTGACATTGCCTTTCTTTTATTCTCCACTATTTACGCTATGTTTGGTTAGGAGAATTATAGAAGAAAAGAAAATGCTAAGGAAATGAAAAGAAAGTCAATGAAACCAAAAATCTTAATCTTGTTTGGTTACTAGAGATATTGGTGAGAACTATTTCTCAAAATTTTTCTTTTTTGTTGTTGTTGTAGAGTAAAAGAAAGTAGATATTGTTCAAAGTGAGGTGAGGGCGGGGTGGGTGGAGTGGGCGCGAGGGAGGAGGAAGGCGGGGGGGGGGGGCAGGGAGTGGGTGGGGAGGGGGAGAGAGTAGTTTGCCCTTTTCCTCACAAAATTGGAAGGAAAATCACTTATCCAATTTTAGTTGCCTTTTCTTTTACTTGCAATTTTCTTTTCTTCTTTTTAACCAAAGACCAAAGTTTATTTTTCTTAGCAATTAGCATTTTCTTTTCTTTTACCTTCGGAAGTCCTGACCCAAACATAGCGTTAATCTTATGGAAGCCAATAGTCTTCTCTATATGACTCCTCCAACAAATGTCAAGCACCACATCTATGTGTTGAGTAGCTGCACTCTCTTGTGGGATAATCTTACATCCCGCACTTGTTCAATCTCATCTTCTAGTGTATTTGTGATAGAGAGCTTCCTGCTGTAATTCATGTGGTTTTCCCATGCCAAAATTTAACCTGTTTTTCATTCACAAACCGGTGATTTTGAAAATTTCAGGTGGTTTTCCCATGCCAAAATCTACTCCACCTCTGTTTCCTGCTATGGAAAACAGTAATTCTGAACATGTTTTCCATTTATAAAACATCGATCGTAACGTTTTTGTTTTTCATCATTTTGTTTTGAAAACATTTCAGAAAGTTCTTTCAAGTAAACATGCCCTCTGATGTCCTTATTTTTAGATATACTTCCTCTGTCCCGATTTAGTCTAGATGGTTTGACTTCACGGTGCTCGTGAAATTCACAAGTTTTTCTCCTATGGAGTGTTTGGCATTCTGTCTATCTTTGCGCTTCCAACTTAACACAAGTAATACATTATTTTGGCTACATTGTAGGAACTTTTGGGGCCATTGCCAGAAGGATTTAATGCCTATTTCACTAGCCGCTTTCCTCAACTGCTTATTCAGGTTTACAAAGTTGTGTCCACGCACTGTAGGGAAGAAGAACTCTTCCAGAAATACTTCACAAACTCCACATTGTAATGTCTTCTGACTATATATATATACTCCTTACACTGCACATTACTTGTTTAATGCCTCTAACATTTCCTGTACATAATGATTGTGTATTAAATTTATTCATCATTAATTAATAAAAATGTGAAGTTCAGAACCCATTTTGCAGGCATGAGGCTGTGTGTATGCAGAACATGCCCCTAGTTGGAAGTAGAGAAATTGTTTTGAAGAGGCCCTATGCCCAAACGTAAAAGCACACACAAAGTAAACGCATTACGCCAAAAGTAAGAGCACATATACAAGAAACATATATACTGACACTAGCAACTAGACTCAAAGCATATAGAATGCACACATGCACAAATTACAAACTAAGGAAAAAGTACACTTGCTTAAACTAAAAACTAAGTCCCAAAGATCTATCCCACTACTTTAGTCTTAGATCTTTAGGTGTTCCAATATGATCATTTATTAGGTAGAAGGAAAAAAATTTAGTACCCTTAATTCTGTCTTCCATTATTGGTTCATCTAAAGAAATCAAACAAGTCCAGCTTAGTCCAGGTGCATGTTGGATGGATGCTGAAGACTTTTGGCTCTGTTTGGTAGTAAAGATCATGTTAAGATCACTAACTTATTACATATACATGCACCACAACTAATTCACAGAAAGTAATTAACTATGTATGCTACAAAAATTTTCATATTAAGTTACCTCATGATCTTCATTATGACAAGCAACATAGTAAGACCTCACCCCACCAAAGCATGAGTGGATCACAAACTCTGTTTGTCTGTGTGGACCTTTAAAGGGTAAAAATGATGTGTATAATGCGCATTCTAACCAATTGTGTTACCAAGTACTAGATGTTTTTCCAATCAAAAAATTCATCATAGTCATTAATTTCAACCAACCAACAACTCTTGGCATGCTCAAATTTTTTTTTTTTTTTTTTTTATTTCATTCTTTCCTTTATCAATTTCATTTTTATATTTTTTATTTCATCCTTTCCTTTAACAATTGCACATTTACAATTTTACACTTTAAAATTTTAATAAAAAAGCAAAAAAAAAAAAAAAAGAAAATTGGAGGTGGCCGAAACCGGTCGGTCCGGTACCGGAACCGCCGGTCCGGGAACCGGAACCGGTACCGACCGGTCCGGTACCGGTACCGGTACCAAGGGGTGGCGGTACCGGAACCGGCGGTTTCGGAACCGGAACTGTCCCGGAACTGTACTGTGGCTACCCCTAGTCCCAATTTGAAGTAGAAGTGAAAACATGTGGCTGTGCGGCTTGATGGGCAATTGGGGTGGCTCGAATCTTTTATGGGTATATAAGAGATTTAACACAAATACTTTGCTAACACACCAATACTTTGTGTCAGTGTAAATTTTTGTTAACGCACCAATGCTTTAGTGTGAACAATCAAAATGTTGGTGTATACCTTTGGTGTAACTTTGGGGTACAAATTTTGGTTTAAGTGTAGCATGGTTCAAAAAAGAAGAGTAAATTATATAAAAGGTCCCCAGTTATAGGTCGTTTTACATATTTAGTCCCTACATATCAAATATTACTAATTTAGTCTCCAATTATTATATTTATTTCCACGAATGGTCCTTTGTTAACATTTCCGTTAAGAACGTGGATAAAATTGTATATTCATACTTCTCTCTCTCCTCAATTAAGCTTTTCTTCATCTTCTCAGTTCTCATACTCTTTCCCAAACTCGTCGCTGAGTTTGAAGCTCTTAAACCCAAAATTTAAATGATCGTTCCTCCAGTTAGACAAACAATTGAGAGAAGAGATGATTTTGGTTTAGGGTTCAAAGCTAGAAACTCAGCGACGGGTTTGAGAAAGGAGTATAAGGGAGGAGAAAGCTTAATTGAGGAGAGAAAGGAGTGTGAATTTATAATTTTATCCACGTTTTAATGAAAATGTTAACAAAGGACCATTCGTAGAAATAAATATAATAATTGGGGACCAAATTAGTAATATTTGATATGTAGGGACTAAATATGTAAAACGACATATAAGTGGGGACCTTTTATGGAATTTACTCAAAAAAGAAAGTGGGCATGAAATTTTTGGACGGATGGGAGTATGCCATAGCACGTAATTCAATTACTAATACTTTTCCGTCTTAAAGTATTTATCTATTTGTATTTTTTACAAGGATCGATATTTGACTTGTAATTAAATAAAAATAACATGATATATTAATTTGATAAAAAAATAATTTGTATTTTGAAAATATTTTACAAAATAAAGCTATTTTTAAAATCCATATCCAATATAATTTTTTACTGCAAAAAGTCAAAATAAAAAAAATATATAAAAATCAAATTTTAAAATGCTCATGTTAGAACAAAATATCTTGAACCGAACACTAATCGAATAGCAAACATGGTAGAAACAATTTAGCTTGCATTCATATAACTTTTGTTGAAAATAATATAATTACAAAAAGAGTAATATTGAGAGTTGAGACGACAATCGAAATATCAAAATCTAAACAACATGACATTAGTGCTCATAGTGCATTCCAATTGGATTTGAACGTTAATTTGTTTACACATTTACATATGATGAAGTGTTTAAATTTAGCCAAATATTTAGAAATACCAAAATAAAGAATAATTAAATTGAAGTTGACCTTCCAATTTTTCCATCAATGTAATGATAAAAGTAAGATGTGATAGATATATTATTAGTGAAAAAATATGATGTAATTGATAGGGTAAAAAAGTAGAGTTAAAAATGAGTTTTTAATAAAAAGTGGACTAGAAGTCTTTTGGTGGATTGATGGCAATATTAAATGAACACTTTCTGATTTCATCTATCTCAAAAAAAGATCCTTTTTTGGCTCATTATTTTTATTTTTCTCAACATCATTTTCAATCGTACAATTTTATCTTTTTTAAGAATCGCGTGGATTTCATTGTGGGACAGAAGGACTATATAGCCTATGCTTTGTTTGTGGATGCTCTATCATGCTCAAAAGAGCCATTCATAGAAGAAGCATCACCACCTCCAACACTACTCCCTCTTGAATCCTCCATTTCTTTCCTTTTGACCGACCGGCTTTTCACAGACTCTTCTTTCTCGTCGACAAACGAAAGAAAAGTCCGCATTCGCCCCGATCGCGAGCCACCAGTGCCACCACCTCCCCCACCGCCAGAAGACTGGTCAGAGTTAGAGTAATAATGCCTCTTGTACTGGCACGCGAGGAGGGCAAAGTACACCATCAAGGCCAAGAAGCTTGCGGTCCCACATATGGAGAAGAGGCCCGAGAAGCTCTTGAGCTCGAGACGATCAACTTCAAGCTTCGTGTTCTCCAACGTGCAGGCGCTTCTCGTCAGCCATTTGTCATGGATCTTCTGAAGCTCTCCGCTCTCGGATAGTTTTAGTATTGCGGTTGATAAGTCCATTGCTAGGGGAGAGTCCCTTCGAAAGGCCTTCAAAACCAAAGATTTAGTCATTAGAGACATTTTTAGAGAGGATTTGTTTGGGTGTTTTTGCGTCATTTGCCCCTGGACTCTTCAAAAATTGTGCAGATTCTTCTGATGAACTTTAAAAATTATACCAATGGTCTCTGAACTTTTAAAAATATCGCATCAATTGTCCCTATGTGTCATATTTGACAATGCGTTAATCACACGCTCGTTTAGTGCAAGTATGGATTCATCTAAATTCATATATCGCACGTGAGTCGATGAGTCAAACAAGGTTTTCATCAGATCAACTTCTTCATCAAGGGTCCAACAAGTATATTGATGAGCGTGTGATTAACGTACTGCCAAATTTGGTACAGAGAGACCATTTATGCAATATTTTTAAAAGTTTAAGGACTATTAGTACAATTTTTAAAGTTCAGGGAGAATCAGCGCAATTTTTGAAGAGTAAATGGAGCAAAAAACTCGATTTGTTTGAATGCAGACCTTTCCTTACTTAGTAATGGAGAGTCGGTTTTTATGAGACCCTCGACTCAAACACATAAACACAGACAAAGTAAAGGTCATATAGAGCAAAACTTACAAATCCCCATCCATTCTTCTGAAACTCTTGGCCAACAATACTGAACTCGCAATGTGTTGATAGAAAAACTTCCATATAGGCACGTTCATCAACCACGGCCATAACCCCTCCATTTCTAGGACCCTTCCTTAGAGCGTCCACGAAATCTTCAGGCAAGTTAAGAGGAACAAGCCTAGATGCACGAATGCCAAGTTCTTGCACCAGATAGTTGTGCGTAAACGACCCTTGTTGATAACCAATGGGGTCGTTCGAAGCCAACAAGCTCTCAATCCCTTTGACCGGAGAAGAAAGATGTTGGACAGTTAGGATTGAGGTCAAGCTTGCAGTGTAGCTTGAGTTTATGATCAAGACCACGAAGAGCCATACGATCAGGACTATGCGCCCCAGAGTGCTAACAGTACTTTCCTCTGAGGGGTAAAATGGGAATGGAAGAAATATATCATTAGAAAAGTTCTCTGGTTGGTTTAAGCCCATAAGGACAACGACATGTTTGTGTGGATTAGGTCACTTACTATGTGCAAAGAAGAGAGTCGAAAAGCTGAACCTGAAATGGAAACATGAGAAGGGCTGGTCACTTTTGAACACATTACTCAAAGAGTGAATTTTTTTTAGTTTTTCTCTAACAAAACCTCTCTATTTCCTAGTAGGGATAAGTTCTACGTACGCAAACCCTCCACAGATCCAGGGATAAGTAGGTTCTGTATATGGTGTGTGCAGCGTGTACACAGATTTTACCCCTACTAGAGAATAGAAAGACTCTTTCCTTCACTAACACGTGAGCTTTATATTCAAAAATGGTGTTAGGGGATTCTGAATGCTACCTACTACTATCTCAGTCCTGAGTACTTGTCTGGTTTTGACTTTTTGTAGTAAACTATTACATTGACCTATAATTAAGTCAAATATATATCGTATATTGATTAGATAAAATAATCTTTTGAATATATTTTATAAAATAAATCTAATAATATTATTTACGTATCAATATCTAATATCACTTTTATTTAATTTGTGGTCAAAATTTGTCAATTTTGACCGGAAAAAGTCAAAAGTCGACAGCTACGGAGGGAGTATTAGGGAAACACCTCCTTAGCATATACAAAGTATAAAATGTTCTATAACTGTGAGCATACCAAAGAATGGTGATGAATTGCTTTCTAGGAGGCCCGCGAAAATCCGTGTTCATTCGGTGTTCCAAAATCCAAACAACTGCCCCGACGACGAGGAAAAAGATTCCGGTAATAGCCCACATTTGAGGGGTAAATGGTCTAAGAAATGCCCAAGCACTAGAACTCAGTTCTTTCACGGGCACCACCACAACTAGCCCGGACTCAATGTAAGGTTGGGTGAAGTCAGCCATCTTCGTCCGGTTCGTTGTGATTGCAATGTCGCCTACAACTGCATCATATACCTGAAACCAAACTATCCCGGTTTTTCTTGTGCAAAGGGTGGGGGTTGGCATTGAGTTTGGAACCCGAAGTTGCTTGGCTCGGGCTTTGTTTGATTTTGATCCATCAAACACATAATGTTCAAAGAGTGGGGTTCTTTTGACACCAAGGGCAGTGTCATAATATGACACGGGGTCATTTGAAGTCCTTACAATGAGTGCTCTATTCGACCAAGAAGGGTTTCATACCCCCTACAAGTCCTAGCATCCCCTCATCCTCAGGCTCGGTCGGGGGTTGTAGGGGGGATTAGGGGATAGAAGCCACTTTAGAGTCGAACAGAACACTATAGGACCCACAAATGGCATGGGTGTCATATGATATTATTATGACACCTGCGGGTGGTGTTAAAAGAACCCCACTCATTAACTCAATCATACTAGGGGTAAAAAAAACCTTGGGTTTCGCCCGGAGTGTTTATAGCAGCAATGTGAGCTGTGATGTGCATAATAAAGAACCTTAGAGCCAAAAAAAACTCACCCCTTCAGTGATTACGTGCACGATTTCTGTATCGTCCGGGTTTTTAAGGCCATCCCCAAAGGACAAGAACTTGTAAGGCACAGAATAGGGCAGCAAGTACACAGCACTAGTGAAGACCTCAATGCAGTAGCCTCTGAACATATCCTCACCACCATCACCTGCCACCTGCCCTACAAATTCTTGGAAACTAACTCTTTTAGGGACACCTACCCTAAGCTGCCTCCCGTTGTTAGGGAACACCCAGCCTCGGGGCGTATCGGTCTTTTGTCCTGGCCAAATCACCCTGTGGAGCCGTTGATTCGAAGACGAGATGTTTGGAGGCTTTGAGTACAGAGGTTCTGGTGGCACAACTGAGAGCCCGGAGTAGTTTGACCAATAACCAACTCTCCTAAATCCAGTCCCAACCATGTTTATGACCTCAAATGCTGGCCTGTATAGGTCCCTGTCTGATGTGAACCTGAAATAGCCAATATGATTAGCAAATGAATTTGATAAATTTGACCTTCATATTTAAGGGTCTGATTGTCTTTGGGTAGGGTTCTCTTGGAAAAATTGTCCTCCCAAGCCTTTGCTTTTTATGGATTTTTTTGGGTTTGTTGTTGAAAAGTGAAGTGTCCACACAATTATTTCTTAAATGAGAGTGGAAAAGTGTAAAGTTGAGTTTAAGACATCTAAAAATGGAAAGTGTTAAAATTGATTTGTGGCCCAATGATACTCTGTGTGAGTGTTTCTCTGGATTTATAAGCTGGTCAAAGCTGCTTATAAGTAGTTTTTAACTTATAAGTCAGTTGATGACATGTTTCTCTGTGTTTATAAGCTAGAAAGAATAAGTAGATCTTACCTACTTATTTTTAAATTAATTTTTTTGTTTCTCTATTTTGATGAGATTATTTACAAAATTATCCCTCACCATTTATGAACATTCCTAAATGACTTATTTAACTTTAAATGACTTATAAGTTAAAAATTACTCCCTCCGTCCTATATTGATCTTCCCACATTAACTTTTGTTCATTTTTAAGGGAGTGAATTTTTGCACTTTGACATCCAATTATACCCTCCCTTTAAAAAAACTGTAGTGCAAAGGCGCTGTGTTCGTTTCTCCGTGGCATTCTTGAATCGGCAACAAAGTCGTCGCCGGAATCGTAGCCCGAAACAGAAGTTGTCGCCGGAATCGTAACCTGTCGGGTCGGGTCCCGGACCTCGGCAGCCCATTTTCCCCAAGGTCGTCGCCTTACGCCCCGGAACTTCCTGACACCGCCGGAGACACCTGAAGGGCCAAGAACATTTTTCCCCCTCCCTCCTTTCTGCCTGGGCGGAGCTGTCTCCAGCGGTCTCTTCCTACGGTTCCGCGCAACACCGCCGTCAGCGGCGGAATCTGAGATTCAAATGAGAGGAGGTGGAGAAGTTTAAGAATGGGGGAGAGGAAGAGATAAGGTCAAATTAGAGAATGAGAGGTGGGCAATGATTCAAGGAAGATAAGGCATGCGTTGGGGTGGGTGGAGTAATAAATATTTTAACTTTGTAGGGGTATTATAGTCATTATATATGCATTTAAAGTGTGTGGGAAGATGATTTTAGGACGGAAAAAAAAAGGAAGTGGGAAGATCAATATAGGACGGAGAGAGTACTTATCAACAATAAGTCAATAAGCACTAGCACAAAGAAACACTGTATAAATATTTAACTAGGACATGTTCTATATGCCAAAATAGGACTTCTAATACTCCCTCCGTCCTAAAAGTTTCTTCCCAGAGCACTATTCCAACTTCACGGAAATTTATATTTATTTGGGTTTTTTCATGGCCTATATGATAAAATAAAATATTCTTGTCACCACTTGTTTTGTTGAACTTTTGATGTAGTTTTTAAATATGTATGTTTTATTTTTTTTATTTCTATACCAATATTTAAATAAAATAGATTGAAAAACTTGGGATTTTTCTTCGTTTTGTGCAACGGGAAGAAAGATATAGGACGGAGGGAGTATCTTTATACCAAAATAATAGTTGTAATGTCAAATAATGCCAACACATAATGCCAAAAAAAAAAATGAAATGCCAAGATGCGGCGTTTATTTAAAAAAAAACATAAAGAGGTCTCATTTTGGCACAAGTTTATTTTTATTTAGGTAGATTTTTTTTTTCCGGTACCTGAACGGCCCTGTCACGCCGGTCATCTCCGTCTTGAAAATCATCTCCCGCAACAAATTCCCGCCATCAAAGACGGTCATGGAATCGAGGCGCAAACGCCCTCCTCCGTTCCCTTCCAGTCTCGGATCTTTGGAAAACGAAATGTTTCCGCCCTGCTTGAAGAAAGCCGCAAGCGCACGGGCAAGCAACCAAACGCTGTCGTATGCATACAAACCATGTGTGCACAATCCCAAGTGCTGGTTACCTCTCATTCCCAACTCTCTGGTCATATTGCTCCACCTGTGAATAAATCCATGAAGAATTAATTCCAACATTAATTTGCAAAAAAAAAATTTAACTTACAAGGACAATGAATAAATGAAACTAGTAGAGGAGAATAACATTTCTCAAGAATCCTAAACCTGATGTTCTCAACAAAAATGATGATGATGCCACTATCTTTGTCTCAGTTGAGTCACTTCTTGTGTTATAGGACTTTTGGTGTAATTTTTAAGTATATAAATTTTATTCTTTTCTAATTCTACACTTGTTTCAAATAAATTGAATTAAATATAATTTCAATCAAACATAGTGAACGGTAACATGAGCTTGTTTTGGGATATGAGGGAGTAAAACAAAAATGATTTCATGTGATTTATCTTGCAATGCACTTTCAACAAGTTTAATAATTCATTGTATGAATATGCAATAAATTTTTTATTTAATTGGACAATAAGTAATAATAATAATAATAACAAAACAACTAACGCCAATAATCCCAATTTTGCTCCATTTTAAAGATGGTAATTCTTCATTTCTTATCAATAATCCCAAGTTTTCTCCATGTTCATAAACCTGGAGATGAAGCGCCTCTTTAAACTAGAGTCTGGAGTATGGATACGCAAAGTAACGACTCCTTGGATGTCTTCCATTGTATCGGGAGAAAACGGGCCCACGGTGTCGAAGACGGTGGAGAGCCAATGTGTGGTGATCCACACATACCCACTCTCCATCATCTTCAAGCTCTTCGCCACCGAAAATATGTTCAAGCTACTCTTGTCTGGGTAAGTGTGGACGACCAAAACCCGGGACTCCATTAAAGCCACCTGAATCAACACGTCCCTTATATCATCAACGGTTGCTTCTGGCTTCAATGCTGCTTTGTATGATATCTGACATCTTCTCATGGCCAGTTGATCTCCTATAATATTAAAATGGTGAAAAAAAAAGGAGATTTGTGAAGGGATTAAGGCCTTGTTTGGGAACATCGTTTATGGTTAGCGTTAGCGTTTTGGATAAAATTTTAATTGTGTAGATTAATTCTGAAAACGCTAACGCTAAAGGCTACCGTTAGATAGCATTTTCAAAATGCTAACGCCGATGCCAAACGGGGCCTAAGAATACTCAATCAAGGTACAAGCTTTTACAACTTTGGAATGGTCACTTTGTTTGGAATTCTATTTTTTTTCTTCTTAGAGATTGTTTGGAATAATTGATTAAAACCATTTGTCAATTGGCTTTACAAGAGTTTTACATTGACATCTAAAACGCCGCTTATTTCTAGAGCAAAAGTTTTTGAAGTAAGAATCTTATTTTTGGCGTGATTACCAATTTTTCCATGGTTCTTTTGACACCGGATTTGGGTGTCATAATATGACTCCTAAGGCACTATAGTGCTCCGTTTGACCTAAAAGTTGCTATTACCCTCTAACCTGCCCAGGTTCAAGTGACACTGGACTTGGGTGTCATAATATGACACCGAGTTTTTTTGGACCTCCTACACTGCTCCGNCCCCCCCCCCCCCCCGCACAAGGCTCATCGTCCCACCCAAGGCCCCACCCTCAATTCGGGGGTGGGGTTGGGGCTGGAGTCGGGCCGTGAGTGGGGGGTAGAAACGGAACATCATGCCATAATATGACAGTGTCAACTGAACCTTCCGGATTAATTAAAGAACTTATGACGGGGTGGGTAACCAAATTTACCAAATTTACCATTACCTAATGCAGCAATGCCATTCCTCCCATAATCATCATCTATGTAGATGGCAACCACTTTTCTCCACTCATAGTGCTCCACCATTGATGCCACAGCAGCCATCTGAAACAGATCATTTGGGCAAGTCCTAACAAAGAATGGGAACTGAAGTGAAGTGAGGGTGGGATCAGCTGCAGCAGATGACAGCAGAGGGACTTGGACCTCACTTGCAATGTGTGAGATCACATGAGCTATGACCGACGACTGGGGCCCGATTATCGCCACCGTGTTCGTCTCCATGAACCGTATTGCTGCAAACCATAGTGAACAAAAAAAAGACTAATACATAAGAATATGTGTCATTACGGAATAGAGCAATTGAGTAATTGAAGCAAACAGAAAACGTAAAGACACACAGATTTAATGTGGTTCACCAAGGTTGTGTTGGCTATGTCCACATGCAAGAACAGATGCAGATTGTATTATGACAGTGGTTCCAGAGTACAGAGTTTTTGTGCTCTACCTCTATATAAATAGGCACACATTACAAATTCAAGGCATATTAACAATATGAGTTGTTGATCACATTGTCAATTGATTTTGGGTTGGAATCTTATAATTGTACAAAACTGAGCTGAGGGTTGTTTGGTAGACACTTTAATTCAGGTAATGAGACCCACATTTTTACAAAATAAAGTGCCCTAAACCAAACTGTATGCATACCTAAACTGCCCTTACTCCAAAGAGTAGAGTGATTGCTTGCCAGAGGACCCAACATGCTAAAATGGACCAAGTATGGAAAAAAATGTAGATTTTTTTAACTAAAATTTTCTCTTTTTTTTTTACCCAAGAAAAGTGATTGAAATTAGATGGTAAAACATCAAATGTAAACAAACCAGCTACCAAAAATTTATTATTTTTATAATAATACTCCAAGATTGCATATTGACCACAAATACGCTTCAAAAATTTGGGGTACATGTAAATTTGGGGTACATGTAAATTAAAAAAAAAATCATGGAGTATTATTTTTAAAAAAAAAATTAAATTTCTAAGAATGTCAGTGACAATTATGTAATCTTGGAGTATTCTTATAAAATCTCAAATTTCTCCGAGCATTATATTGACATGAATTTAAAAAATGAAAACTATGTTTCGAGTTATTCTAAAAAAGGAAACTGGGAAGTTAATTTTGGGACGGTGAGAGATGGAGAAATACCTTCAACAATCCCAAGAAAACCACTGGCAGTGCTATCAAGCATGGTGATATTCAGCTTTCTTCCCCCAAGAACTGTTTGTTTGGAACTATTTACCTCTTCCACTGCAGTTTCTACAGCCAGTTTTGTCACTCTCCCAACTGGGGAGGTCAAAATCAACATACACCCAACATTCACAACCTCAGGTTTTACCCCTCCACAGATTATTACCCCACTGTAAAAACCCAGGAACACCACTGCCCAATACATCTTCTGGGTGAATTTACTGAACTCCATCCCCGGATTTTTCACCCTGCACATACAAAACTTACCTCAAGAACAAAAACTTCAGAACCATAGTTTAAATTTCAAAAAAAGAACCCAAAATTTCGGACTTTCTTTCTGTAGTTGTATCCAGACAACCCTTAAGGACTCCAGTTATTTATTCACAAAAATATCTCATTCTTGAAAAAAACAATGGCAGAAAATTATGAGTTTTACAGAAGAGAGAAGTTAAGCCAAGAACAAGTGCTTTTAACAGAAACTTAGAGAGGTGTATTTGGCTTCAGAAAAGGGTTAAAAAATGTGAGAAATGGAATATTATACCCATACAAAAGCAAGACAAAGAAGCAAATGGAATATATTTCAGATTATCAGCAAAAATTAAAGCACTAACCTGAAAGATCCTCATAGAAGCAGACAAAAAGACTGTAGAGTCTATGTCCTCTTAATATATTTATAAAAAAAAAGTGGAATGCTCACCCCAGACGTCCCACACTCCTGCCCGACAAGATTGTGATGAGATAAATCATGGTATGATCTTGATTCGATCCTTAGAGAGGTTGCCACGTGCTTGGTGCGCACAAGAAACTATTACAAATAGTCGAACTCTCATACTGTTGCTGCCCCGATTCGATCCTATAATCTCAGTCTTAATATATTTATAAGAAATATGCTATTTTGACCCCGAGATCTGAATCTCATTTTTATCCTCACCCTCTTACAAATTGACACAATTCCGTATTTGTGAACGTCTGTAAAAGATGAAGTTAAAAGTGAGATTTAAATCTTGGGGCCCCTCAAACATAACCCTATTTATAAAACCATCCTTTAGCATAGGTAGCTTACATAATCCTAAAAATGGAGTATAAAGCTTGACAATGTGGAGATTTTGTCTAATGTGATACATGCTTGTATGCACCAAGCCTGTTAGGCTCATCGAAAGACCAATATTAGATTATATCGAGATTTACCTCTCACTATTTTTTCAGGTCGAGAAGTAGGGGAGCCCACAAAATCCTTGCCTTTTTTGACATTAGATTTCAATATCATACCCCCTCTTTTTTGTGACAATCGATTCCCAAATTATTGATAGTAGATCGTTAATCTAACATCTCTGATGGAGTCAAAGATTCACATATTCACTATTTTTGGTTTCGCAATACAATGGAATAAAATAAAATGATTCTTTAAATTGTTCGTGCTTCTCTGAATACCGAAGTGACAGTTAGTCAATGCAACTTTTGACACTCATCATGGGTCATCCAGAAACAACCGCTCTATGTTTTAAACATAAAGGTCAGACTACGTACATCTGACCTCCTACCCCGCAATGGAGGGGGAGCCATTATTAGGCCTTATAAGTCCCTTTTTATGTGAAAGTATTGAATGTTCAATTCTGATATATAAAACATGTTTTAGTCGTAGTCAGATATTTCTCCTTAAATTCATCTCTTAGAACAAGTCTAGTCTTATTTGAGTGAGATTAAGATGGGTCACATATACTTAGAAATTTAGAATGATACTTTATATAAAAGTAAGACACTCATCTTCAATTGAAACTCTCATTTTTCTAGTCCCAATTATTTGAATAAATATATATAAATCATGTAAACAAGTTTACTAACATGCCAAGTATGGGAGAATTGAGTTGAGACTTGCATTACATTTTCTTTAAAATAAGTTAAACTACTGATTAAAGATGTGACATCTGCTCTATTTATATTATACGGAATAAATTATATTATGATGTATCAAGATATTTTTATTTGTAAAATATTTACTAATGCGATTATTTTTTACTGGCAATATTTATCATTGTGACACTTTCACCGACAATATTTATTCTTGAAAAAATATCTTCATTAACAAGTTTTATGATGAAAAAAATTAAGATGTTCAAAAGGCTTTTTTAAGGATTTTTTTTGAAGTGCCCAGCCAAACTGGACACTAAGATAGGTAGTGGAAGTAATAATGTTATGGGAGTAATGGTACACGTATCAGTTCTTCACTTTCCGTACGAGCATAATGCAATTGGCTTTCATTTCATGAACAAAGAAATGCAATTAAGATTGAAAATGTTTGGGTTTTTGTGCAAATTTATGAAAAGATTGGTGTTAAAATTGGGCTACTCCAAGTAGTAAATTCATTGAGAATTGGAGGTCTTAAACAAATTGGGTTGTTCCAAGTTATTTTTTCCGTTCTAGTGTATTTGTCTAGTTTGATTTTTTAAGTCAAGCTGGATATATTTTGAGCTTCAATTTAATAAAAATCGTAATATATTTTAACATAAAAATGGTTCTATTAGATTTATCGTATCGAGAACTTTCAAAATTGTATTTCATTATATCAATATGTAATACAAATTGAGAATAATCATTATACCAGTAATTTTAACTTTTTTCAGTCAATCATTTTCAACCTTTGATTTATAATTAAATAAAATGAATATTAAATATTAATTAGATAAAGTAATATTTTGAAAATATTTTAGATAACAAATATAATAAGACTAATTTTGTATCATTATCTAATACCATTTTTATTTAATTTTAGATCAAAATTTATTTATTTTGACAAAAAAAAATCAAAAGTAGACAAATACTACAAAACAAAAATAATAATGTTTTGATTTATTTGGATGTTTGAGATAAAAGATGTTTGAGAAAAAAATACAGTAATATTTTGATTTATTTGGATGTTTGAGTTGAATCAAAATATAACTTTCATTGTGGCAAAGAAAAAAATACTAACCCTTTTTGTTTCTTTTTCGTTATCGAAACTGAATTCATTCAATCTAACATTACAAATACACAGAAAAGAAGAGATGAAGGAACAATCTCTTCATCTGCAATCATAAATGAGACAAAGAATCCATCAGAGGTTCATTTCCAGCGGATCAGCCCCAGTTGTTGTAACCAGTCCAGTCCCCACTCAAGAAAACATAACCCGTCTGATTCTTGATCAAAAATCTGCTTCCGAAGCTCTCCAAACCTTCAGATGGGCATCCAGTCTTCCCCATTTCACCCACTCCCAGTCCACATTCAGAGCTCTGGTTCACAAGCTCTGCGCTTTCCGGCGTTTCGAAACCGTCTACCAACTGCTCGACGAAATGCGCAGCTCAAGTTGCGTGTCCCCTGACGAAGGCGTTTTTGTCACTGTCGTCCGTGGTTTGGGCCGGGCTAGAATGGTCAGGGAAGTGATCAGAGTTCCAGATTTAGCCTCCAGGTTCGGTCTGGCCCCGAGTCTGAAGCTCATGAATTCGATTCTTGATGTTTTGGTCAAGGAGGACATTGATATTGCCAGGGAGTTTTACAGGAAGAAGATGATGGGATGCCATGGTTTTGTTCAAGGAGATGATTACACTCATGCGATTCTAATGAAAGGGCTCTGCGCCACCAACAGAATCCGGGACGGATTCAAGCTTCTGCAGGTGTTGAAGACCCGGGGCGCGAAACCAAACATTGTTATATACAATACACTCTTGAGTGCCCTTTGTAAGAATGGGAAAGTTGGGAGGGCAAGGAGTTTGATGAGGGAAGTATCCGAACCCAATGACGTGACGTTCAATATCTTGATTTCTGCTTACTGTAAAGATGATAATCTAGTGCAGGCATTGGTTATGCTGGAGAAAAGCTTCAGCAAAGGGTTTGTTCCTGATGTTATAACAGTGACTAAGGTATTGGAAATCCTATGTAACAAAGGGCGTGTCTCTGAGGCCGTTGAGGTCCTACGAAGAGTAGAGGAGAGCAGAGGGACGATTGACGCAGTGGCTTATAATACACTGATAAAAGGCCATTGCAGGTTAGGGAAGGTCAAATTTGGGCGTCGGCTATTGACTGAGATGGAGAGGAAAGGGCACTTGCCAAATACAGAGACATATAACTCTTTGATATCTGGTTTATGTGAGTGTTCCATGTTGGACATGGCTCTTGACATGTTTAATGAAATGCAAATGGTTGGGTTGAAGTGGAATTTTGCCACTTATGATACTCTAATCCACGGGCTTTGCTCCGTCGGGAGGACTCAAGAAGGGCTCAAGATCTTGGCTTTAATGGAGGAGAGTAAAGGGGAGATTCACATAAGGCCTTATAATGGGGTCATATATGGCCTTTACAAGGAAAACCGTTTGGACGAAGCGTTTGGATTCTTGAAGAATATTGATAATATATTTCCACGATGCGTAGATAGGAGCCTTAGAATTCTCCAATCGTGCAAAGATGGAAGCATTGACGGAGCGAAAAAGTTTTATCTTCAGATGATAGAGGAAGGTGGCATTCCATCTGCATTGGTTTATGCAGACCTAATCCATACATTTTGTGAGAAAGAACGGTTAAGGGAAGCGATCGAGGTGATGAATGAGATGGTCGGGCACGGCTATCTTCCCGTTGCTTCCACGCTCAACGCGGTGATCAAAGGGCTTTGCAAGAAGGGTAAAATTGGAAACGCCTTAAAGTTCATGGAGGATATGATGGGAAGAGGTTGCTTACCTGATGCAAAAAGCTATGGTTTGTTTCTTGAATCCTTTTGTAGTAAAGGAGAGTTCCACAAAGCTTTCATCATCTTTATGCAAATGGTGGAAAAGGGTATAATTCCAAACTTTTCTTCATGGAATACATTGGTTCAATGTTTGTGTCAAGAACACCAAAGTATGTGTTGTGTGGGTGACAAACTTTGTTTCATTATAGAAACTTGATGTCAAAATTTGAACATTTTAAGGAAAATGATTCATGTGACGTGTCATTTTACATGAACCTGGCAATAACAACAATAACCCAGTATGATCCCAACTCCCTTGGGATATGGGAAATCAAGATGTACTCCCTTGGGCTATGATGATTCGTAAAATTCATGGTCTCTACTCATAACCCCTCCACCCCAACTTGACCCGAACGCACTCTCCCAACCCCTTCAATTTCATCCCCGAAATTTAGTTAACTTTGTGGGTAAAATGTATATTTATACACATGATGTATATCAATATTCATTAAACTCTTGAGGCTTTGTTACGTGAAAGACATCCCAACTTTGAAGTTAGTACCTCATCTTGAATTTGATACAAGAAAATCAGATTGGTTTCGTTGACACTAGGCAAGATCGTGCCACTGGTTTTTTGGAAAACCTCCAGGGCTCTGTAAATTGACAGTATCTAACCCTCTAGCTCCAACGGCAAACCTCTCCAACTTGCCCAACCCAAATCCGCCCCCTGCCCCATCAATTAGACTCTCCAAGTTTAGATAATTTTGGGATTAAAAATGAGGGTAAATTTCAAAAATAGTACCTGAACTTTCTCGAGAATTTCGATTTGGTATCTAAATTTTAGAACATTTCACAAAAGTACCTCAACTTACATAATTCTTTCACTAAAAGTCCATTTAGCCGTTTCCAGGTTAACTTCCGGTCATTTGGCTAAATTAGAATTTTATATGTTTTAAAATTTTTAATTTGACCCCATTTCTTTTTTTTCAAGTTGAAGATGATATACCTTTTAATTACAAGACTCGTGATTGAGATACCTTTCCACTAAAAATCCATTTTGTAACATATATTTCAAAAGTCATAATGCTTAGGCCTTGTTTGGAAAGAGTGTTTTCAATTAGCGTTAGCGTTTTGGATAAAATATTAACGGTGTACATTAATTTAGAAAACGTTAACGCTAAGGGCTACTGTCAGATAGTCCTTTCAAAACGCTTACGCTAATATCTAAAGTTATTTTTTCAAATTCTTTTATTTCCAAATTCGAATTGCTCCGTTTTTTCTTTTCTATTCTTTTCTTTTTTACGTTTCTTTTTTTTTTGGTTTGATGATAAGATCAAAGGCGGGGAACATGAGATTGTATCGTTGTCTTTTTTCAAAGGGGTTTTCTTTTAATTTATTAATCATATTTTCGGCGTCTATTTTAGACAAACGTATCCCCGTAGGCCGTACCGATCCCCGCTATTTTGGTTTTTTTACTAAATCTATTTTGAATCAATTTTATTTACAAATTACATTAAAAATGAAAAGTATAAAATACATATTTAAAAATTGTATCAAAAGAATACAAACCAGTGGTGAAAAACAAAATATTTTCCTAAATGGACCATGAAAAAGTATATATGATCAAAAGTCATCGAAATACAACAATAATAAATAACAAAAAAAATTTACTAAAAAGTGGATAAAACTTAATCTCATTTATAATAATGATAAAAAAGAATTTGGAAACAGAGAGAATAATATTTCTTTTGTCCCCAAATAAATTACATAGGTATTATTACAACATCTCGATAAATTTTACTCCATAATTGTTACTCCGTATATGTTATCATCGATCATTTGATAAAATAAATATTTTTGTCACCTCTTATCACGTTACATGTTATCATCGAAAATTTTTATTTCTTTTTTGGAGAGAAAAATTAGATATAAAGTCCGAAGTTACTACTTGTGATTTAAATCTCCACGTGGGAATTAAAAATATGTGATGGACGGTTACGGATAATAGAGGAAATCAAATCGAATTTTGAAGCTGAATTCCGTATCTAATCATTTTGTCGGTGGTCTCCAGCATTACAATTTCACTCCCTCCGTCCGTATCTAATTGTATATAAAGTTTTATAAACAAGATGTAACCATAATACTATTTTATGAAATGTGTATTAAAAATAAATAAATAAAGTGAATTAATTTGATCTGATGAATTTAATTTCCTAAAAAAAATTTAATCTTGTAAATAATGTTTGGAAAGATATATGGGAGACGGAGAGTGTATAAAAACACCCAGCAACCAACTGGAAAATTACCATCAAGACCAAAATATTTATCAACTATCTTAATCTTAGATCTCTAAATATTTCTATCTAATGTCATATGGAGTATTTTTGATAATTGACTAAAGTCCATGTTGAATCACCACTTTCTAAATTTGCTTAGGTCTACCCTATCTCTTCCCTTACTCCCCTCTACCACTGTAAGTCTATCACATCTTATTGGTGGCATTGTGCCTAGGCCCAATGTAGAAGAATTTGTCTTAAAGGCATCACAAATATGGATAATACTAAACCTTGTACGTTACTAACCACCTTGACAACAGTTAAATTGTGATGATATTGCAATTGACAATAGATGGAAAAATTGCCTTGAATAACAGTGTGACAACAGTTGTCGATGGCAGTACAGTGGGCAACACATGGGAGCGTGCCCTTCAATAACAGTGTGGTGATGGTCGTCAATGGTTGTGCATTGTGCACCAAATTGGAGCGTTATGATGATTGCTAATGGTAGCGCAATTGGTAGGGGATGAGATTGTGGTTTTGGATGGAGTGTAGTGCAAATTGGCAATGGCAGTGTAGACTTTCATTGAAGTCTAAGACTAACATTCATATTTTGGCATTTTTATACTCTACTTAAAGTAAGGGAGATCTCTCTTCTATTTAGAGACGGATGAAATATTAAAGCTTTTATTTAGAAATAATATTTCTCGTTAACGTTTTAGATATTTTTTAAATGAGGCATATTAAAATTCAACAACTAATATAACCCTATGTTTTGATGAGAGAAAATAGAAAGAATGAATGGAAAAAAGAGAAATTATAGCTTGTAATGTAATTTCTCTTGTTTGAATGTTAAAGAAAAGAACGAAAGAAATTAAAAGAAAATGAGTCTAAAACAAGCTTCAAAATATTCTCTTCAAGTGGGGAGAAAACGTGCAAATTGCAAAAAGGAGGAAAAAGTGTTTGAATTACTTATTTACCCTTGTTCCTTCATTTATTACTTTTACTTTTTAAAGAATAAAAATAAGAATGCCATTTTAGGTTATAATATTTTTTTCTACTAATTCAAACAACCGTTATTTTGTTTTTATTTTCTATTTTTTTTTTTATTTTTTACAACTTTTTCTCTTCATTTTTCTTTTCTCATCTAAACAAGTTTTATATTTTTTTGTTTGGATAAAGAGAAAAAATGAGAATAGAGAAAATAAAATGGATAGAAACTATGAAGAGAATGATTACAATTAGGATAAAATGAAGAAAAAGTGTAGAGAAAGAAAAAAAATAATATATACATAAAAAAAGACTAAAATTAGAGTTTGCATTGTTTTTATCGTACTACGACACAAACCATATTGTCACATTATCATCTAGGATTACCTATCGTCGGAGCACTACCATCAATCGTTGGTCGCTAATGTTGACTGATGGTTTAACGACAATTAGTCGATCAAACTTTCATATTAAGCTGTCATCATTTTTTAGTCCCACCATCATCTATCTTCCATAGTTCTATTCTATTCCATTGTTGGTATTTTAGCTAAATTTTACTTCTTTTTCAAAAAAAAATCATTCTCTTCTCATGCATGGAGAGAAAATATTTGCTTGGGCTTCCCTAATTTTTTTTTTGTTTTTGCTCTCATTTTTTTCTACACTCAAAGAAAGAGAAAATATTTTGAACTATGTATATTTTCTCTAAAAAAAAAGAGATGAGCTTCATCTCCTTTGATCTCTTCAGAACTGCAAACAGTCAAAGATAAATTAGATTTTGGTTACAAATTGGTAGCAAATAGTAGAGCATGCACTTGTACCTGTAAATTGGTTGCCTTCGAACTCAGGTCTTACTCCCTTGGCACTTCTTGCCTTTGCCAACTACGCAATGCCCATGCCCTATGTGTATATTCTCTAGAATTAAACTAGAGTTACACCAACATGAGGTATACCATTTAAATTATTATGTATATGTGTATCTGTGTTAGTTTAGTTTACAAATGAGTTGCCCTATACTGATATACTACTAACAGTGACATTTTCTGTATTCTTTTCAATCACGAGTGCTTCTTTGGTGCACCTTGGGAAGGTGCATATCATTTTTTATGAACTCTCTCAGGCAAAAACTTTATTTTATTTTTATTAAAAAAATAAGTGCAAATGCTTATTTAATTAATAAAAAATGTTTATTTTGGTAGGTGACAAGCGTACTAAAAGTCAAGAGTCTTGCGGCACTAGGACTTTGTGAGACTTTCACTTTCTCAGTCACCAATTCAACAATAAAAGCCCTTCACCCGCCGCACCTTTTCCCCATCTACGACCACCACAGGGCACCAGCCGCTCTCCGTTCATACGCGCCGCCGCTGCATTCTCCATCCCTCCGCCGCCGTTTCTCACATTTCCGAAAACTTCACCGATCAAGTAGAAATATACCGAAATCAGTTCACATTCATAATTAATTTCTCATTTTCTAGACCTGGCAGAACCTGCCCCGAATCGTTTCCCCGCTCCTCCTCAATCCAGTTTCTCGATCTGCTGATATTTGAATTTCAGATCCAGGATTCTGAGATCGCCGACCATGGGATTCCAGAAAGACGAAGCGAGTTCGTCTTCTCATGTTCTCCACATACCCAGAGAAGACACCCCGCTGCTCTTGAGTCAACACCCTCTGTCGTCCCCGAGCAAAACCCTAGCCAATGTCTTGATGTCATTAGTCGGGTCAGGCGTGCTCGGTCTTCCGTACACCTTCAAGAGAACTGGGTGGGTGATGGGTTCTCTGATGCTCTTCTCCGTGGCCTTTGTGACCTACTATTCTATGATGCTGTTAGTTCATTCGAGGAGAAAGCTCGAATCCGATCCGAAATCCCCGAAGCTGCCTTCTTTTGGAGATCTGGGGTTCGCAGTTTGTGGGCCGATTGGAAGATTTGCTGTTGATGTTATGATTGTTCTCTCTCAAGCTGGATTTTGTGTTGGCTACATGATTTTCATAGCAAATAGTCTAGCTTTCTTATTCAATTATGCCTCTGTGGAACACCCAAACCCTAAAATTTTGGGAATTTCCCCAAAATCTGTGTATATATGGAGCTGTTTTCCGTTTCAACTAGGGTTAAATTCAATTCCCACACTTACCCATTTAGCACCTTTGAGCATATTTGCTGATGTTGTTGATTTGGGAGCGTTGGGTGTGGTTTTGGTTGAGGATGTTTTAGTTTACCTGCAGAATAGGCCCGTCGTCCAGGCCTTTGGTGGACCCGGCGTGTTCTTCTACGGTCTTGGCGTTGCTGTATATGCTTTTGAAGGGATTGGAATGGTGCTGCCCTTAGAATCAGAGACCAGGGACAAGGGTAAATTTGGAAAAATCTTGGGTTTATCGATTGCACTCATCTCCGTGATGAATGCTGTGTTTGGGGTGTTGGGTTACTTTGCATTTGGTGATGAGACTAAGGAGATCATCACCACTAATCTCGGGAGGGGTCTTTTAAGCAGTCTCATGCAAATTGGTATGTGTGTTTATCTTTTGATTACTTTCCCACTGATGATGAACCCTGTTTATGAAGTGTTGGAAAGGAGACTGTGCGAGGGAAGATATTCGATTTGGCTAAGATGGTCCGCGGTGTTTGTGGTCAGTTTGGTTGCTCTTTTGGTGCCTAACTTTGCGGATTTCCTGTCACTGGTTGGGAGTAGTGTGTGCATTGTGTTGGGGTTTGTGTTGCCGGCTTTGTTTCATCTAATTGTGTTCAAGCAAGACATGGGCTTTCTTGGATTGGTTTGTGATGGAACACTCATTGTTCTTGGCATATGTTTTGCTTCCTATGGGACTTTCTCTTCTCTCCTTGACATCTTTGCAATAAAGGCTTAAAGCGTTTCGATATTGGGCTCTCATGCTTGGGAGCATAGAGATTGTGTCGGTCTCGTGCGAACGTCTTACTTTTACCAACATTTGTAGTACTTTTTATACATTACACATTTGTTGGAAAGTAAGGTTTTTGTTTGGAATGTGTTTGTGTTCTTTGTCAAGATGTTGCTTGACTGTTTAGTTGTTACAAAGTCAGTTGTATTATTCTCTAGTGACTGTCTGATTGGTTACTTAGCTAGTAAGGCAGTAAATAGAGTAAGTGTTGAGTTCGATTTTTGTCAATTGCGTTAGGAAACAATTACGTTAAGCATATAATCTCTACAAGTAGTAAGTGCAGGTTTCATCCTTTGCTTGTCAGTCTTTGATTAAAGATTATTATTCTCTAGTGACGGTCTAATTGGTTATGAGGGGTCCTTAGGGATGGGGGTTACCATTTGATGTGTATTTGTGTCGTCTATCAACGTTCACTCTTCGAGGGTAAATGATAATGTTTATGTCTCATCCCTCCTTCCAAACTTTTAGATATGTTTTTTTCTGAGTGTGTATAATTTTAGATAATCACTTACTCCGTATAATTATTGTAAGATGTTTTGGTGGTAACATTTGAATACTAAAACTTTATTTTCTGTTTACTGTCCAAGCATTGTTACCCAACATTTCTTTGATATTGAGAAAATCTCAAGCACTTTTGAACGATGAGAGTTTGCATTGTTCTTTTACTAATACAATGCGAGTTCTCTGGTGCTTGAGAGTGATTGTGCGATCCACATGACTCTCCTTTCGTTATTTTCTTTGACTTTGAGGTTGTGTGATATTTTTCCTCAAGCCTCTTTTTGAAAGTTCTAGGTGTTCCTCCATGCTAAGACGGAGGGCACCAGAAGCAACTCGGGTCTTTCTTGACTTCTTCTCCATTTTTTTCAAGAATGTTTTGGGATGAACAGAGGAGATCATTGAAATGATGCGCCTCTTCAACTTAGAGGGAGCATTCTTCTCACTTACGCATGACCCAACCCAACTCTATGGGTTGGGCTACTTATTTTTGCGTATTGTACTCTCTCTCTCAACCCATTTTTTCTATTTTTTGTCTTATTCATTTTTTATTAGTCTTGAACGAAGTTTTATATTTAATTATTATATGAACTAGTCTATCTAACTATTTATTTTGGAATGATGGACTATGTTCTTATCAAACACAAAAAAAAATTATTTTTTAAAACATTTAAAAAAAACTGTAATTTTCAAAAAATAATAAAAAATATTTATTGAAAAAAAAACAATAAAGAAGAAAAGTTGGTATTAATAAGAAAATACGGAGTAGATTTATCATATCACAACGCTGCAATAAACGTCTTCCGTCCGACTTTTCCTTGCACTTTCTCAGTCGCCGATTCAACAATAAAAGCCCTTCACCGGCCTTTTCCCCACCACCACCGCCGCCATTCTCCATCCCAGCTCCGCCGTTTCTCTCATTTCTGAAAACTTCACCGATCACGTAGAAATAGACTAAAATCAGTTCATATTCGTGAATAAGTTCTCATTTTCTAGACCTGTGTAAATCCGCAAACCCTGCCCCGAATCATTTCCCCCCACTCGATCTCAATCCAGTTTCTCGATCTGTTGATATTTGAATTTCAGATCCAAGAATCCGAGATCGCTGGCCATGGGATTCGAGAAAGACGAAGCGAGTTCGTCCTCACATGTTCTCCACATACCCAGAGAAGACACCCCGCTGCTCTCGAGTCAAAACCATCTATCGTCCCCGACCAAAACCCTAGCCAATGTTTTCATAGCGATCGTCGGATCAGGCGTGCTCGGTCTGCCGTACACCTTCAAGAGAACTGGGTGGGTGATGGGTTCTCTGATGCTCTTCTCCGTGGCCTTTTTGACCTACTATTCCATGATGCTGCTAGTTTATTCGAGGAGAAAGCTCGAATCCAATCCCAAATCCCCGAAGCTGCCGTCTTTTGGAGATCTGGGGTTCGCAGTTTGTGGGCCGATTGGAAGATTTGCTGTTGATGTTATGATTGTTCTCTCCCAAGCTGGATTTTGTATTGGCTACACAATTTTCATAGCAAATACTTTAGCTTTCTTATTCAATTATGCATCTGTTGAACACCCAAACCCTAAAATTTTGGGGATTTCCCCAAAATCTGTGTATATATGGAGCTGTTTTCCATTCCAATTAGGGTTGAATTCCATACCAACACTTACCCATTTAGCCCCTTTGAGCATCTTCGCCGATGTTGTTGATTTGGGAGCAATGGGTGTGGTTCTGGTTGAGGATGTTTTAGTTTACCTCCAGAACAGGCCTGTGATTCAGGCCTTTGGCGGGCCCAGCGTGTTCTTCTATGGTCTGGGCGTTGCTGTTTATGCCTTTGAAGGGATTGGCATGGTGCTGCCCTTAGAATCAGAGACCAGGGACAAGGGTAAATTTGGAAAAGTCTTGGGTTTATCGGTGGCACTCATCGCCCTGATGTATGCTCTGTTTGGGGTGCTAGGTTACTTTGCATTTGGTGATGAGACTAAGGACATCATCACCACTAATCTTGGGAGGGGACTTTTAAGCTGTTTCGTGCAAATCGGTTTGTGTGTTAATCTCTTCTTTACTTTCCCGCTGATGATGAACCCTGTTCATGAAGTGTTGGAAAGGAGGTTCTGCGAGGGAAGATATTCGATTTGGCTAAGATGGTCCGGGGTGTTGGTGGTCAGTTTGGTTGCTCTCATGGTCCCTAACTTTGCGGATTTCTTGTCACTGGTTGGGAGCAGTGTGTGCATTGTGTTGGGGTTTGTGTTGCCGGCTCTGTTTCATCTCATTGTGTTCAAACAAGAGCTGAGTTTTCTTGGATTGGCTTGTGATGGAGCAATCATTGTTCTTGGCATATGTTTTGCTTCCTATGGGACTTTCTCTTCTCTCCTCGACATCTTCGCTGTAAAGGCTTAAATCGCTTCATTATTGACTCTCATGTTTGGGAGCGTAAAGATTGTGTCGGTCTCTTGTGCGAATGTCTCACCTCTACTTTTATCAACGTTTGTAGTACTTTTTATGCATTACAAATTTGTTGAAATTTGTGTCATGTGTTTTTTTCTTTCTCTCAAACAACTCTGCTGTGTATTTGTGTCCTCATTCTAAGTTCACTCTCCAATGGTAAATAGGCAGTGGTACTAATAGAGATCTGAGATCTATATTAAGATATTACTACTCCAACTTGAAAAGGTTGCTTAGATTTTGCCATAGATGATTCTTTTTAAAACACAATAACCAAAGCTGATTCATAACCCTTAAAAGAAGATGAAAAGGTCCAAGTGTGCATATGTACATCACTAATTTTTTGTTCATAGCGGCTTGTAACTACATTCACACTTGTCTTGGTGATGTTAGTAAAGTCTTTGATAGATAACTTTTGTTAGTGTAAGGTAAAAACTAGAAATTTAAGTGGTATACAATTTGGCGTATATCAAGTGGTGTACATGAGAACATATATGGTGAAATGAAATGATTCATATCCCCTAAACCAAGAATTCAGAGTTTGCAATTGCAAGCCCTCTAAGAGCATTGCCACGAGCTTCGAATTCCAAGAAGATCGCGCCGATGTCCTAACATCAAAGATGTTTGAGTAGCACTATGGCAACAAATGCATCCGACAAGACATTAGCGAAGGATCTAGCTAAAGCGTGATTACAAAAGCAACCGACAAGACATTGGCGAAGGATTTAGCTCCAACATGAAAGAAATCATGGCTAAAGGCTAAAACCTTGAGAGAATTGTATATATACGAGTTTGTGCTTGGCAAGTACGGAGTATCTAAACAAAACGCAATTGCTAGTAATCTTGAGTAAGGGTGGACAAAAATACAGATTCGACATTGTTCTGAACCGGACCGACATGACACTGAACCGAGAAATGAATTTTCTAATGGTTCTAGAAAATTTTTCTATATCACAAACCAAATCGTCCCTTTATATAATGGTATGGGATAGATTCAAAAAAAAATAAGAACCAAAAAATTTGAACCAAATCATTACAATAGAAATATTTTTAATTATATACAGAACATTTTGTTTGTTACTTTTTATCATTTTTTATTCTTATTTCTTAGTAACCACTGTAACTTACTTAATCTCACAAAGTAATTTAAAATAAATTACTTAATTACAGCTCATTTTATGATCCTTTTATTGAAAATATTCAATTGACAATTACATTTTATTAAAAATTATAATTAAACAGCACACGTATTGAATAAAGATGTATAAACATATGTTAATGCTAATTCCATCTCATATTTGGCTATATCTCTTTTTTGGGCATGTTTGGATATTGGCTTTTCAAATGGCTTTTGGCTGTTTTAACTAATTTTGGCTATTTTGACCAATCAAACAACCAAATAGAGTGTTTGTCAAATGACTCTTGAAGTTGGCTGTTAGAGTCCGAAAAATTAAAATATGAAAAGCTGTGAAGAGTAGCCTTTCGAGTTGGCTGTTGGCTGTTGGAGATTAATTATTTATTGTATAAATATTAAATAAATAAATAAGTAAATAAATAAATAAACAAATATCAAGTAAGTAAAAAACAAACGAAAAAGTGAGTAAATAACACATCCCCAAATGAAATTTACTTAGAATTTACGAGGTATTATATTTTTTTAAAAATTTATTTTATTCGAAAATTGGTACAGAAATAAAAAACTTACATATTAAAGAAATTTTATAATAAATATAATTTGTTAAATAGTCTCTCTCTCTATACACACACACACAGATATATATATATATATATATATATATATATATATATATATATATATATATTGCAAATATGAATTGTATTATATTATATTGCAGAACATATTATATTTTATAAATTTTAGTTCTTGATATATAAATTATATTATACAAATCATATACATAAAATTAACTTTATAAATATAATTACATCTACAACAGCTATTTAAAAGCAGCTAGATTTGCCAAATATTTTTTTTGTGAACAACGAATGCAATCGGCCGATCAAAACAGCTAACTCCAGCACCCATTCAAACCAGTAAACACAAACAGCTAACAGCCAACCGCCAATTTACAAATAGGGCCTTTATGTCAAACAGACAAGTTTACAATTAATGCTTGAAATTAGAAATGAAAAAAAGTGAAAAGACAAAATTGTCTATTTCTTTTTTAAAATAGAGTAGATTTAGCCAATTAGGGAGTAAATTTAGCATCACCCATAGATATATCCAATTTTTTAATCTTGTTAACTGTTTTATAAAATAAAAATATTTTTATCCTAAAAAACACTAAAGTATAATTTGACATTAGTATGGTTTTAGTTCTAATTCAACCAAACCTTAATCTTGAGAAATTGTGGCACATATTTCAAGGAGGAAGGTGCCTCGTGTTCACCTTGCAATCCTTGCTAATAAAATGTCTTTCCAAAGAGTACTTTTTTTTCCTTTTGAGAACCCCAAAAGGGTACTTTTTCTATCATTCAAACTCGTCTTTGTTTGACGAAGACAATGATGAAGATCCATTTTTTTTTTGCAAGTATACTTTAGACTATTACAAGTTCGTAATTTCCCAAAAACAAGAGTCCCTAAAATTTACTTGGACCAAACAAACTTCCAAAACCCAATGTCACTCGGAGTGTAAAAAAAGTCAATCTGAGTAACCAAACAAATACTTTGAGACGAAAAGAGTAGTTTGAATTGGTAAGTGGTATATGGTTGAATTCAAAAGGAGAAGCATTTGTAACATGCATTTCATGTAAGAGTACAACACGGATCACCACGCCTCAAATGTGATAGAGTGTTTCAAGTGTGTGTCTCTGTGTGTGCGTGCACGCGTGTCTATACTCTGTATATATGTACGTATACATACACCCACACACACACGCGCACACACACACACATGTGTGTGTGTGTATCAATAATTCAGTATTAAAATACAAAACAAACCGGTCACAAAAAGATTGATGTGATGAATCGTTACAAAGCTATATATCAAATATAAACAACCACAAAAGCCAACAATTTCTTTCTTAGTATATAAATATTATAAATGAAAAAGAGAAAGAGAAAGAAACTATTGCCGGTGTCAACGACGACCACAATTGGAAATGAGAAATGACTGACCATGACTTAGATCATGGCCAGACAAATAACAAGAATTCCCAACAATATCACTCCACACACTTACAAGAGCCCTGCCAAATGTTGATTAGAACAGCAGCTCATTTTATTCACTTATTCATGTCTTTGTTTTTCTCTGTACCAGGTAATGAGGATGGACGAACTCGAAAATGTACAACTTCCAAGTAGGCAACAAGCATGGAAAATATGCTTTAGTAAACGAGCTTGCCTGCAAAAAGGGAAACTTATGGTAAAAAGTTAATGACTATAAGACAATGAGTTTACACTAACTTATCGTTTTATTATGAAACATTTTTGTTTTTAATGAATTCTAACCCCGCCAAAACATACTTATACTTATTAGTTATTACATCCTTACAGGGTACCATGCGAAAATGAATGTGTATTACATATTTGTTTGAATTTATAAATAAGTAAAATATTGCTATATTTACACACAAACTGTGTTTTCATATGAAGAAATGATGCCCGGGAAAATCAAGTGAATTCCCAATTACTCAATGTATTCAATGAAGGCTTTTAGGCAAGCTCAACAACATTAAAACCACACTGGCATACTTGAAGCCTAAAACAAAGGGAGTAACATGTTAAAAATCCTACATTGAATGTCTACTTATAGGACAGCCTGTTTACGATGAGAAGTGTGATTTGAGTATCTCACGTTGATTGTTTACTAGATTTGAGTCTAGAATGTAAGTATGAAGTAAGATGCACCTCTTAAGAAGCTTGTTTGGGACGATGTAGACTTAAGTTAACATAATAATGTAAGAAAAGGTAATATGGTTTCCAAGAAATATAAGCAAAAGACGTAACTACCTGTGACAACAAATAATACCTCGGTAGCCGGCCTTCTTGGAATAAGAACATGAATACTATGATTGCATGACCTTGTTTTGTTTGATGCAGGTAGTAGGTTCCTTGAACGCTTGGCACTTCCAAGCTGGTGACCTCTCAACAGAAAATATGGACTTATTGCTAGTGACGGTAGTAGTAGTTGTTGTTGTTGGTGTTGGTGTTGTTGGGATCACGTCCTCTTTAATTGGATGTGAATTTTTAGATTTTAGTTCCTCTTTAGGGTTTGCTTGATCCTTAAAATTACAAATGCTAAGGGGTAACTTTTTCTGTTTAAACCTTCCTTTCTTTCTCCCAACACTCTCAAAATCGTCCATGTATTCTTCATCTACTTCCTTCAATCCATTTTCCATTCTTTCCCCGCTCTCCGTCGCAGTGGAGTTGGATTTATTAACTTCTATCACTTTCCCATTTTCCCTTGATCTGTAACTCACTCTTTCAGAAGAAGAAGCCTTAGATGTCTCGCTAACTGGCACCGTTTTGAGCTTCTTGTGTTGGTGATTTCTCGGGGAACTGTTTATAGCCCTATGCAAATTCTTGGCCAATTCTTCATCCGTCCTACAACTATCAACCCCTCTATTCATATCGTACAACGCATGGACTGCAACATGCTTCTTTGTCTTATTCTTCTTTGACTGGCTGTTCCTACTAGCAGCTTCTTCATCACTAATACTGACCAATTCCAAAGCTGCCCTGGCAGCAGCTATTGCTTTTGCTGCTTTTGCAGCTTTCTCCTCTGCAAGGGCTCTGGCATTCCTTGCAGCCCTAGCCGCTTCGGCGGCTTCCATTCGTGACGCCTCAATGATCTCCTCATTTGATAGACTATGGTCACTCAAATGAGATCTCAACAATTTATTAAGACGGGTATCGAACTCACAGCCGCTGAAACCACTCCCCAAAAAGGATGAGGAAGGGGTGTGTGGATTGGCATCGCCGTTCTGTTTCCTCATTCCGGCTAAAAGCCTCTTCCTCGGCGGCAAAAGCACATCGGCGTCCAAGTTATTCGCATCACAGACATTAGCTTCCATTCTCTCTGCATCACACCATCAATGATCTACAAAAACATCCCGCCTGCAAAAGAAACATTTGTGCACTACAGAACCAGCAGTTTCGCCTCCACGAAAACAAAAATTCATTGAACATGAATCAAACAGTATGATTAATCCGAATTCGAACTCGAAATCAATCATCAACAATAACAATTAAAAAACCCAGAGAGCAATGCAAATAAACTGAGAGAGCCCAAATCATCAAGAGAAACGCTTTAGGGCCTTGCAAGCACCAAATGAACAGATGAAACATAAATTTTTCAATCCAATCGAGAAAATCAAAAGCTTGATTTAGAGAATTGTTGAAATCCAGAATTGAGCTAACAGCATGTAATTTCCTAGGATTCCTCATGATTAACGAGTATTTCAAGCAATCAAAGAGAATCAAATAAGGTGGATCAGATACCTCTTGATCTCTCCATGCTGGAAATGGAGCTGAAACTAGGGTTTTCCGAGAGAAAATAGGAAATGGAAGAAAAAATGGCACGTAAAACCAGATAGATAGACGAAGGAGAGAGAGAGAGAGAGAGAGAGAGAGAAATAATTTTAAGACTACAATTACGTTTGTCTGAATGGAGTTTCCAATGGGTCTCATTTTGGAGACTTTCTTTCTTATTTGTGATTTTGTGTTAACATTTTGCATAGTTTTTATAATGGTAGGAAATTAATTTTACAAATATTTATGTTCAAAATTATTTTTAAGCAATGCTAAAATTAATGTCAAATTAAAATTGTCAAAAAATATAAAATTTTATAAGGAATAATCTCAACAATAATATATTTCTATTTTTAAAAAAAATTATAAAATTTGACAAAGAATGATCTCAACGATAATATTTTTTTAACACTATTAACTCAATTCTCAATCTAATAACGCAGATAGAGTTCATTCTGGATCGTAACTCCCAACGTGCCTCCCTCATATGATTTAGCCTTGCCGAGCGCTCCAATCAATATATCCTTCTAGATGGGCATCCCTCATGTCAGCTTCTTTCGATGAATTTTTAGTATCTTTATTCTCTAATCTGACTAATAATAAAAGTGGATGAGTAAATTAGGTTTAACTTGTTAGATCTACATATAACCTTTTATACTCATCGCAAGGCCTCTAATTTTGTGTATGACTTTAATTAAAAGGATACGGTTTCGTTGACACCAGCCAAGTTCCAGTAGCGGTGTCACTGCATTTTTTGGGTACCTCTGGTGCTTCGTTCGGAAAATTGATAGTTCCTATCCTTTAAAGCCCCCACCCTAGCCCCACCCCAGTCCCACCTTAAGCCCCCCTCCAAGTCATCCGTACACGATTTTTTATTTTGAAAATTGTCCATAGATATAAGTTACGTTTCTAATTTGTTGAGAGAACACATTTATTTTGTACTCAACATCCTAATCTTGCAGTCCTAATTACCTCAGACACATTTCTAATGCCATAGATTACCTTGTTCATCGAATTACATCCTCAAATTTCAAATTTTATTATAATATGCTTCTAAAATATTTAGGGCAAGAGAATGGTATTAGAGATAGTAGAAATGCAATATTATGATGTTTAGTAGTATGAAGTAATGTGTTACTGCAACAACTTTAAAATAGAAATTATATTTAAGAATCATCTTAAAAATATAAAAGTTTGTAAGGATGACTAAAGAAAAAAGTATTTTACAAAGACTAAAAACAAAAATCATCTATTTTACAGGAATCAAAAATATATTTAACCCATTTTTTTTTAACAAAAGTGCAATATATTAATACCAAAACATACAATCATTCAACACTGATACAATCAACTCCACTACACCAAGCTATTAAAAACCAGAGAATCACTCCATAGCAACTAAATTAATATCTACTTTGTGCCCAATTGCCATAACAATGGCAGCTTTAATAGCTTGCACTACATGAGCCTTAGTAAAGTCCTTTCTGCTATGCTCTTTCTCGTTTCTAGCTTTCCATAAGAAGTAGCAGCTGGCAGTAATGTTTAGGAGTAGACCATTTACTCCAGACCATATCTCTGCCCACTCCAGTTTCAGGTGGTTGCCTAATAGCCAATCATACCCCTCCTTAACAGTATAGCTACTGGTACAGTTCATACCCATGAAAAGCTCTCTAGTTTGGACTATTTTCTTCCAATAATAACAATCATCAGCTTTGGTATTTAACCCATTTTTAATTGTACAGATTATCTAAACTTTATTTTTATATGCTTACTCAATCACAAATTATATATATAAAACTCATTTATTAATTGCACTTTATATCTAGACTTTATTTTTGAACTTCAGTTTTTAAATTATTTTATAAAAAAGTGGTGTATAATTAAAAAATAATAAAAATTATGGAATACATATTTAAAAATTATATCAAACTAATTACAAAATTAGTGACGACATGATACATTATTTGATAAAATAATAAATGAAAAAAATAAAGTGAATCAATTTTGATACGTGAATAATAAAGAAGCAATTGAATTTGATATAGAAAAAATATCTTTTACTAAAAATGCTAAAGCTAGTAAGGCTTTTCCAAAAAGACGGTCAAGTGCATGACTTTGACCATTTGGTGGGGCCCACAAGCGCGGAACTGCCGCCCTTCTTTTTCCTCTCACTCAAACTCACCGCCAAAAATTAGAAGGTCCACTCCCGATTCCCGGAAAGCGCACTTCATTTGCTTTAATTTCTCGATCAACCAATCTCCGGCCGGTCTCCGGCGGAAACGCCGACCCCTAATCCGGCTTTCCCGCCTTTCATTTTCCTTTCCCCCCCTCATTCTCAGCTTCTCATAGGAGCAATTGTTCACCCAATGATATCCGTTTTGATTCTTCCGTATGCGCATTACCCGTTTCCTGAATATATCACTCGCCTTCTTGCTTCGATGTGTGAGTTTGGATGTTCGTTTTCTTTCAGATGAAGAGAATCGAGAAGTTGCCGGAGGAAATTCGTGGCCAAATCCGTTCGGGAATAGTTATTTACGACTTGTCTAGGGTTGTGGAGGAGTTGGTGTATAACTGTCTCGATGCTGGTGCTGGAAAGGTAATTCTAGTCGCCCCATTAGGTGTGGAGGTTGTTTTCCTGATTTTATTACTTGTGTGGTCTATTTGTGTTGTTGGTCGTATTTGATTTGGCCAGTGTAGCTGTTTAGACTCTGTTCTTTTAGTTTTAAGGGCTTAAACCCAATTTTTCTGACAGGTTTCCATTGCAGTGGGTGTTGGGACCTGCTATGTTAAAGTGGTGGACGATGGTATTTGCTAGACTGTTTTCTTTTCTTTTAAGAATCATGTGTACATTCCGATGTATGTATGCTGCATTTGAGCGTTTTCTCGAAATTCTGGTGTAGGATCTGGTGTGTCTCGAGATGGGCTGGATCTTGTCGGAGAAAGATATGGTAATGGGTTTGATTTTCTTTGAGCTATCTCGCCAATGGTTTTCTGTTCAGTGTTATGCTTCAAACAAAAAGATCATTGATTGAAAAATGAAAATGTTTTCAATTTTAAGATAGTGTAGCTGTTTGCCAATTTGCGTCCAGCATGTAACTCAGGTTTTTTTTCTTATCACTTTGGATACCCCAACTGCTTATGATGAATCAATAACATATGATACACCTTTTGCTCACACTTGTGGGTTTTCTAATTTTGTACAGTAAGACATTTCAGGAAACTGGTTTTAAACAAAATTGAACCAAAACCATAGGATAAGCCGGCAAGCTATAATTTTCTATTGAACTGCAATTATAATTGACTAATTGAGTACTATTACAATTATGATTATATCAGCAACATCAAAATACAACCCCTTGGATGATATGGACACTAGTCCTTTAAACTTTGGCTACCTTGGAGAGGCTTTGAGCTCCATTGCTGACGTCTCTTTGGTGGAAATTGTTACAAAAGCGCATGGGAGACCAAATGGATATCGCAAGGTTTTGAAGGTAGAATATTCTGAAGTTATTTCAGTTAATAGGAAATTGGTAGTGTGTACCAGTTGCCTTCTATGCTTCATACATGTCTCAGGGTTGCAAATGTTTGTATCTTGGAATTGATGATGATAGGGTAGATGTTGGCACTACAGGTAAACTGTGTCTAACCTCGTCCATTGGAAGTGTAATTGATTTGGTTTCTGAGTGAAATGCACATTGACTTTTTATTGTTTGCAGTCACGGTGCGTGACTTATTCTACAACCAACCTGTTCGGAGGAAGCATATGTTATCCAAGTACCTCTCCTACTTCTAGACCAAAATCTATTTTGTTGTACAGTGGTAGTGTTTTTCCATATCTGTAGACCAACTTTTTGTCATGTTTCTTTTTTATTTCCTTTGGCAGCCCAAAGAAAGTGTTACACATGATTAAAGAATGTGTGATACGAATTGCACTCGTTCACCCCAGTGTCTCCTTCAAAGTTGTTGATATTGAGAGGTCTTCCCTTGCTTCATTTACTAAACTCTTAAATGTTTTCCATTTTATTTCATGGCATTAAGGTGTCGGTGCTGACAGTTTGTTGGTATGCAGCGAAGATGAGCTGCTCCACACATGTCCTTTTCCTAATGCATTGTCATTACTGGCGAGAAGTTTTGGGATTGAGGCTTGCAACTCTCTTGAAGAATTGAATGTTGCCGGTGGGCGATTCAAGCTTCTCGGATATATTTCTGGCACCCTCAATATTTTGTCATTGAAGGTACATTTTTTTTTGGTGAACATACTGTGAGCGTGCTAGGTGTCTCATTTTCCCTATCTCCCGCTAATTAATGGCTGCTTGATTTGCAGGTGTTTCAGTATGCATGTATCCCTTTCTTTCATGTACTGTTCCTGCAGGACACAGGCTATGTTTTCAGCAGATTTTTTGTTTTGTTTTGTTTTTGTTTTCATTGACTTCCATCAATGCAGATATCAATTCAAAATTTGTCTCTAAGGGACCAATACACAAAATGATAAATAATATGGCTTCAAGCTTTATCGTTGGTTCCCAAAACGAGAAGCAGAATAGGTCCCAGATATGTCCAGCATTTCTTTTGAACCTACAATGCCCAAAGTCTTACTATGATCTGACTTTTGAACCATCAAAGACATCTGTGGAGTTTAAGGTATTTTATTTGTCAATCATCACTCGATGCAAGTTTCTAATAGATAATTGTGAAGGTATACAAGTTATTGTGAATCTGCCTTGTCCTTGGCCCGCATAATTCTGATTATCCTCAAGTCCCAAAATTTGTTTAGTGTTTTTGTTGAGTTCATTCATCCTATGGTCACTCAACAATAATAACATTTAAACCTTTTCATCTAAATGCGTTAAAGTGGAACATATTAAAAGCTATCATTTAGAAATTGGAGTCATCCTCAGTGAATGAGAGGCAGAAGTGGAAATGCCACTAGCCCATTGTACTCGAGTCGCCAAAACTCCAAAAGTGAAATGAATTGTTTTTCATCACATTATATGATACCTTTAAAACTGAATGTGTGCCAATTATCACTTTTGGTCTCATCTTTGATAAGCACTTATTTTCCCCTAAATGTACACACATTGAAGGATTGGGATTCTGTCCTTACTTTCATTGGGGATGCTATTCGACGTCTTTGGAGTAGAGGCAAATCTGATGGTAAGATCCAATGACAGTGATTTATAT